CTCGCTCACTCCCCCTGCCCCAATGAGATGGGGGAGAGAATCGGAGGAGTAAGAGTGAGAAACACTCCTGGGTTGAGATAAGAACAGTTTAAGAATTGAAATGAAGTAAAATAGTAATGATAATAGTAACAATAAAATATTATAATAATAAACAGAGCAAGTGATGCACAATGCAATTGCTCACCACCCGCTGACCGGTACCCAGACAGTTCCCGAGCAGCGATTGCTGCTCCCCAGCCAACCCCCCCGAGTTTCTATACTGAGCATGACGCCGTATGGTATGGAATAGCCCTTTGGTCAGTTTGCATCAACTATTCTGGCTGTGCCCCCTCCCAGTTTCTTGTGCCCCTGGCAGAGCATGGGAAGCTGAAAAGTCCTTGACTAGCATAAGCAGTACTTAGCAACAACTAAGACATCAGTGTGTTATCAACATTCTTCTCATTCTAAATCCAAAACACAGCACTGTGCCTGCTACTAGGAAGAAAATTAACTCTATCCCAGCTGAAACCAGGACAATTCCTTAACTGCGTTTGCATTTGTCTCCCCCCAGCCCTTGCTCTGGAGGCATTTAAGCAACTTGGTTATGTAATTTGTGTCTATATTGGATTATTTTTCAGAATTTTTTTCCTTAACCTGTGGGGTTTCTTTGGCTCTTCCTGTACTGCTGGATCTGTCTGAATTTGGACTTGTATTACAATCCCTTGATTTTATCTGTGTATGTGTGGATACTTCGCAGGCTGATTGTGAAAAGGTCACATCGGAGCACGCTTGTCTTGTGCAAAGGTGACCATGATGGTGTATTTTGTAGTCCCAGACTATTTTCTGAGTTAATTTTCTTATAGTGCCTTGGTTTGGTCTTGCTATGTATACACTTTACAGAGCAAATAATCCCCTGGGAGGGTCCCACAGCAGTAGGGGAATGTTACATACTGTACTAAGCTAAGCAAAGGTATGAACAAAACATATGCAGATAGCAATTTGGTGAGCTCCAGAAACAAATGCATAGCAATAACCATGTGTGAGACCCTGCCCTGAGCTGTGGGATGCTTTCCAGCTGAGCTGAATTGTATCTCAGCACCCATCATTTGAAGGAAGAATGCTTAACAGAATTTGGTGCTCTAATGCAAAAGATAAGAGGGCCAGGAAGCTAACTGCAGGTTTGCATTCTTTTGAAGAGGATGCAAATATGACTTTCTTATTCTGTTTGCTTGCATACATTTTTGTGGCATTGTACTTCCCAGTGCATCCAACTACAGATTCTTTGGGCTGTGGAGTCTGCGGGGATGTACACAGTGTGATTTTTATGCAAGCACAGGCACTGGTTCAGTCTAGTCCATCCCTATTTACTCATGTTGCCAGAGCTGCTTAGCTTATGACGCAGTGTGGAAATACTAGCAGATTGCTAGGTGTTAGAGTAGCAGCTTGTTATTAATGTCTGGCCCTTTTTTTAGGGGTAGAAGGTTTGTCTGAAAATTTGGGTCAGCACCATGATCGGTCTTTATGAATGAACGCAAGCCTCCTGGCTTTGACACTCGCCATCATTTCGTGTTTGACAGTGACAGGCGAAGCCAGTGTTCCCTGTGTACTGGGAAGAGGCAGAGAACGAGCTGCTGTTCGTTAACTTGCCTGCGTTCTGGAGCAGTGAGGAAATGTGGTTGGGGTGGAAGATGGGACTAGGTGGCTGGGACCAGTGCGTGTGTAGAAGAAATTGAGGACCTGGCTTAGTCCTCTAGCTGTAAGGCTCAGAGGGTGATAACACATGCTCTGCTCCCCTTTCTTGACTCAGTGACCTTAGTGGTCTCCCTGAGAGATGTCCCACACTGTAGACTGTCCACTATTCATGTCCAGTTCAGATCAAGGTTCTCTCTTTTAACTCCACCAAGAGCTGCCACCGATCCAGTTGGCTTTTTTACCTGGTCATGGCTCTGATGAGGATTTCCAGAGAAAAGGATTATCTTATCTGCCATTCCTTCTCTGTCTCCTGATGCTGCAGGCGCTTGCCCCACTCCCCTTGACCCTGCCTGACTATGGGGTGTGCCAGGGCAGATGCCCTGGTGACTCTAGAGGAGGTAAGCCAACAAAAATTGCACGTGCCTGTGAATGTGCAGCCCACCTTAGCTCCTGAACGCCTTGCAGTGCTTACCAGCGAGGGACCTGGGGAGTCAGCTAAATTGCTCTGGCAGATGCCTGCTTCTCTGGCACTAATATCAAAGAGAGCAGACTGCTGTTACTAAGTGTCTTTGCAGGGCTTCAAGCCAAGGTTGAAACGAAATCAAGCAAGAAGCAACATCAAAAACAAGAGCCCTGGAAAAATGGTGTTTACTTGGCAAAAACATATATTCTGTATGAAGTGTCCAGAGGAGTATTGCCAGTTACCAGCCCTTTTTTGGCATTCTACAGGTCTTTACACTGAACTTCCATATCTTAATTTCTAGGTCAGTCTCCTCAGCTCCGATATCACTGCTTACCAGCCCTAAATGTTGCAGGTGGCTTTATGGATCAATAGCCATGTGGCTCTTGGCATGAGATATGAATGATAACTGCGAGCCTCATGTTTGAGGGATGTGAGCTTCCGCTTGAAACAGAGGAGATCTTAGATTTCTGAAGAACATATGTGCCACATGGAGATGTGTACGGTTTGCATTTCCACTTGAAAGCAATGGTTTTTACATCTCTACTGGAAAAAAAAAATCTGATACTTAATTTAGGTGAGCTGAAGCACTTGGAAAGCACTAGCCATCCCTGTGGAGGAAACTGTCTGCATCCATCCCCAACCACACTCAACATAAAGTAATGGGTTGGTTTCTTTGGTGGAGGTACAATATGAAATCTGTTGGCTTCTCCTTGGGTCCCTTCTGTAGTCGGAGCACTTTCACTGTTGGCAGCTGGTGCTTGCAAGGACAAGGTTTGGCTCTTCCAGCCAACTCCATAACCTCCTCTCTAACCAGCTGCTTTCCAGGTCTCTGTACAGTCACTTCTTGGGAGATCATGTTTGTCAAGATATGCCTCACTTTCAGATCTCAGAAATGTGTCAAGATCTCCAGCAAAAAGGCTTTTCCTCTGCATAGTCTTGTGTTTAAAAAAGACAGCAATCTAACTTAGGCCTGAGTCAGCCCCTGGAATTGTTAAACTGTAGGGTCTGCAAGCAAAATGCCATTCTCCCCTGTAAAGATTCTGCATTAGAAGCCACCATGTGTGTCAGCAACCATCAGAATGACCTTCAAGATGCAAAGGGGTAGGTGGAATTTTCTTCCAGCTTAAGCTGAAGAAGCGGGAGATGGGATGGTCACGCACCAAGAGATCTTCTGCTTCTGGAGTCTAATATCTATCATGAATTGCAGGGAGGGTAGAGCAGCCACCAGGATTACAGACTCTGCAGACCACTTTCAAAAGAGAAAGAGAACTCTGTATGAAATACACCGTCATTAACAGCAGGGTTTTTCTTCCAGTGCTGATTGTCTTTGCCACCAAAGAATGGAAAGTGATGCAAAGTCCAGAGTCACAGAGGACCCCGCAGTTGGGAATTCATGTCTGGGACCTCTCTGGTGTATATTTACCCTCAGGCTCTGTGTGCTTCCAGGAGGCTCAGCCATCGGCATGGCCAAGGCATGCTAAGTTCCTGCCCCTCAAACTTCATGTGCAATCGTTTCTTCAGTCTGGCCTTATTTCTCATGAGAGCACTCGGGTTCACCTCCAAGCTTCCTGCATCTCCAAGCATGGAAGCTGACCGGGTAATGTCTGTTGCTCAAGGCTGCTCTAACAAGGTATGAAATGTTGTCTTCACCCATAGGAGCGGTTCTAGGAGACATCCTGGCTGCCAACTGGAAAGGAATTGCTGCCCTGATGTAGCAGTGCCATGTGCCCCCTCTTCTGTTCAGGCAGAAGCCAGCCTGTGGTACTTGATGGCGTTAAAGAAACCTGCAAGTTCAGCAGCCTGACACCAGACCTTACTCTCACATCAGCTTTGCATCATGCAGTTTAGCATGTCCCCCATTCTCCTGTCTCATGGTAGCCAGACTTTGAAAGCCTTTTGAGGGTGTATTCCACCATCAGGCAAGGTTCCTCCTGCCATCCAGGATGTATATATTACACTGGCACGGGACTGCAGGGTGCAGGTACCTAGCCATTGATTTCACATGCTCTGCTTCAGCTTTCTTTCAAAACTGTTCTCCTGGAGTGGTAGCATCCCCCTGAAGATGGAGAGCTGTTCCTGGAGCCCCTTTATTCATTTCCCCATGAAGGTGGACTGACGCTGAGAACCCCCCCCCGCCCCCGCCTTTATACCATTACAGTCTTGTGCTGTTAGCCTAGTCCTGAACAACATTTTCACAGGCATAAGAGCAGGAGGACCATGAGCCAGCTCTTGGCACACTGGGGTCCATGGCAAAACTCCACCTCATCTCATTCAGGTTACACCCCTGCTGCCACAGCACTTCTTTTAGACATTTCCAGTCCTGGTTTCCTTCGTGCTCATATATTCATCCACATTCATCCTGCCCAGCAAGATGACTCTTTTTGATGTTCAACATTTCTGGGAGGTTTAAAGGTACTTTTTCACTTGGGTCAGAAAAACTGACTGTTGGTTGTAGAGATGTGGGAAGAGACCTTAGAGGTGAAAGGTGTGTATTGCTATCTTGACAGAGCAGGACAAACTGGAAACCAGTCTTCCAGTCTGTTTTTTTCCCTTGATCTGTTCACAGGTTGGTGGGTCACCACTTGACATCTTAAGATTTTCAAGTCTGTTGGAATATCTCATCTGGTTTCTAGCTGGTTGCAAGTCCGAGGCAGTAGTGCTATGCAGCGAGAACACTTTGCTGAGCTCTTCCCATAGCGAGGAAGGCAGAAACGAAGTTTTGCAAGCACAAGCTGAATTTCCTGTGCATTGGCAAAAGGAGAAATCTGCACTGGTTTCCATGGCCACACAGTTGCATGGTTCTCATTATAGCAAAGAAGCCAAATATATCTGTTTGTATTTTGATTTCTTCCATACGTGCATTCCCTGTGGGTCTTTTCTGTAGATTTAGATCCTAGGTGAATTTTCCAGCTTGTGCTTTTTGAGATGATGGTGTTACAGGGACTCAGAAAAGCATTAGACTTTGTAGGAAGTGAATGTAATGAGCAATTTAAAATACCTCAGGGCCCTAACCAGAAGACTCAAAAGGGTCGTAGAAAGATTATCTGTTCCCTTTCAAAGAGTTTGCATTTGGGAAGTGTTCCTGAGATTTCTTGTAATTAATGGCTGGATATCCACTCTCAATGGCAGACTTAGTATCACACCTGAGGCTCAGATCTTCAAACTTCTAAGCATGGCTGTAACTTCATGAGTCTGAGCAGGAAGCAGATGCTTGGAAGCAACAGTTGTTACTGTTTGAGGAGGAAGCTCTTTAGAAAATCTGGCTCTGGCTCTTGCCATCTAATCCAGCCCCTGATATGTGTGGGTGGAGAAGCTCAAGGACCACTCTTTCATGCCTTGTACTGTGCATGGCTACGGCCACTTTTGGGCAGAGCCATGTGCCACCACTGTGATGGGACAGCATGTCCAATGTGTGTCTGTTCTTGCTGTGCAGGGACAACTGTCTGTGTAGGAGCATTCAGGGGATGGGAGACCAAGGGGCTGGTGCCCAGCCCTGCTGGTCACCACTGAAACAGGAATTGCTGTTTCCACAGGTCTCTTGACTGAGGGAAGTGGGGAGAAACCTGGGATCAAGAAGTGGAAGGTGAACAGTGAATCCCAAGTTGAAGCTCTGGACAAAGATGAGGACAAAGTGGGAGGTGCCAGTGCCAAGGAACTGAAGGAACACCAAGAAAAAGCTTCTTCCAAGAAGAGTTTTGTCTGCAAAGCCTGTGACAAGACCTTCCACTTCTACTGCCGCCTGAAGGTGCACATGAAACGTTGTCGGGTGGCCAGAGGAAAGCAAATCCAGTGCAAGGAGTGCAGCGAGGTCAAATCGACAAAGAAGGAGCTGGAGAAGCATCAACTGGAGGTCCATGGGGTGCTGGGGACAGCCAAGAAGAAGAAGAAGAGGCTACCCGTGGCATGTGACATCTGTGGCCGAGAGTTTGCTCATGCCTCAGGTAGGGTTGGTGGGAGCAGGGGTGTTTGGACAGAAGTCTGGACAATATAATAAAGCAATAGTCTGAAACCTCCTCCTCCTCCCTTCAGCTCTGTGAGCGTTGTGTGTGAGAAACACATCTCAGCTCATTTCTCCTGCCCCACTGAGCACAACTGCTTTCTGATTAGTTCTTCCCTAATTGGTTTTCCACATGGCTCATCAAGGAAAAGTGGGGCTACTGGCAAATTTAAAAGCTTCCAAAAATAATCAAGCTGTTCCAGTTCTGTGGATGGTTTAGCAGGATGAGTAAGAGGAGTTGAGTCTCTTTGCCTTCCCTGTGGCAGCTCATGATATCCTGGTGGACCTCCGGGCTGGAGGACACCAGTAGACCCCTGGTGTCACAGGTGGGCTGGTCGACCTCCGGGCTGGGTGGAGTGGTGCCTCTGCAGCAGGGTTGGGCAGGGCTGGCACTGGGTCCCACCAGTGCTACCCCAGTGTCCTGCCTGCCTCCCCAGGGATGCAGTATCACAAGCTGACGGAGCACTTCGACGAGAAGCCCTTCTCCTGCGAGGAGTGTGGGGCCAAGTTCGCAGCCAACTCCACGCTGAAGAACCACCTGCGGCTGCACACGGGGGACCGGCCCTTCATGTGCAAGCATTGCCTGATGACCTTCATGCAGGCCTCAGCCCTCGCCTACCACACCAAGAAGAAGCACGCTGAGGGTGAGCCTTCCCTGTGGGAACCTGGCCATGGGCTTGGCTTGCTCCATCCACCCCTTCCTGCCCTGCTCCTACATCTGCCTCCTGGCCACTTCCCCATCCTTTGGGGGAGCCCTGGGCAGCAGGCTGCTCCCAGGTCTCCTTCACCCACACAGTTTTGCCTGCAGTTCTCTACTCTGCCTTTCCCCCCATCCCCTCCAGGTCCTCTGATTAGCCACCCAGTTAGCAGTTTGCTCTCCATTAAGGGGATCTTCCTCTTCCTCCACCTTCCTTGTTTTTCTTCTGAGTAGCTCTGTCCCCTCACATCTAGACTCCTGCGATGCATCCTCTTCCCTGTGGTTAACCCGCTTTCTCCTGTTTCTCCCTCTGGCTGAATTTCACACAGTTTTTCATGCCAGGGCTGCTTCTGCCCCTGCACCCAGCGTCTTCCACTACCAGAGCATGAGCATGTTGCAGCTGAGCAGTTAATTTTGAACATGAGACATGCCAGCATGTAGTACCTCCAGATACTTGAGGACTTTAGTAACTTAATACTCCCTGTGCAGGCATGGCTTTCTTCAGCACCTCTACGACCTTTTTGACCCTGCGCTGAGATGCTCTGGCTACACCAGGAAACCCTGTCCACTTTACAGTCTCTTCCCTCTCCCTTTGAGATTAGGCATAGTGCAGACAGAGCTCCTGTCCCGTTAGGTGCAGGCTCTCACCCTGGGTGTCACTGCAGGGAAGATGTACGCCTGCCAGTACTGTGACGCCGTGTTTGCCCAGTCCATCGAGCTGTCACGCCATGTCCGGACTCACACGGGGGACAAGCCGTACGTCTGCCGGGAGTGTGGGAAAGGCTTTCGCCAGGCCAATGGGCTCTCCATCCACCTCCGGACCTTCCACAGTGAGTGTGGCCAGCTTCCTCACTGGCTTGGGCAGTCCAGCCTGCAAGACACGGCTTCTGCAGGGTCATGGCAGACCCGTCTGTGCCAGCAGAGGCTTGTGCAGGTGTTACTGGTGCCTGCAAGCTAGCTGGGTGTCTCCTGGTGGGGTTTTTCCCTCCTAAGAAAAGCAAGACTCTTCAGTGATTTGATGCTGTGGGTAGGGTTATACCAAAGAAAGTGGCAGAGCTGGCTTCCAGCAAACCGCAAGCTGCTGGGAACCTACCATGGGAAGGTGTAGGTGAGCAGGAGCAGCAACGTCTGTATGCAAAGCCAAAACTCCAGTGCTAGTTTTCTTCTGGGATGTAACAAGCTTTTATTTCCCTTTTCTTTCCTCCCTCTGTGAATTCTCCTCTTAATTATTTTCTTTTTTCCTTGATTTCTTTGTCCCCTATGGTTCTTGTTGTGTTTCTGGGCGGCAGACATCGAAGATCCCTATGACTGCAAGAAGTGCCGGATGAGTTTTGCCACGCTGCAGGAGCACCGCAAGCACGTCCACGAAGCCCACTCCCGGGAGTACCACCCCTGCCCTACCTGCTCTAAAGTCTTCAGCGCCCCATCGCTCCTGGAGCGCCACATGGTGACCCACGTCGGAGGAAAGCCCTTTAGCTGTGAGATCTGTGACAAAGCTTACCAGGTGAGCTGGTGCAGCAAGGATTTGGTCTCATGTGCTGGAGGTTGCCGTTGCCTGCTCCTGCACCAGGATGTCTCTCCTGTCCATGTACACTGAGTGCAGCAGTTTGTGGTCAGCAGAAGGAAAAATTGCACAGAGGAGGCAGACTCTGTAGGGAAAAGGCAGGTTCCTGGAGAGAGATGGGCCATGACTGCAAAGGGCTACACACCTGCCTACCTGGACACTCGGGGATCTCTTTCACCCAAGTTTCTAGCTGCCAGGAAGTGTAGGAATAAAAATACTCCTGTTGCAAATGGCATGCCTCAGTGGCAGTGTGTGTGGGAGCACTTTCCTACAAGGGAACAAAAATTCACACCAAAAGGAGACCTGCAGTGAGTGAGATGAGGATGAGGGATTCAGCAGTGTTCAACTCTTCACAGGCAATGGAGAAACAGAAGTGAGGTGTTTGCTGTTGTCCTGTGGGAGGATGAGCAGGTCTTGTACCTGCTGAGCACAACCCCGCTGTTCCTGTTCCTTTCCATGCGATTTCTTGCTGTCATGATGTCCCTGGAACAATTTTGTATTGTAACCATGATTTGATCCTTATCATTGCAGCAGTTGTCAGGGTTATGGTATCACAACCGGACCCACCACCCTGATGTCTTTGCAGCTCAGAATCACCGCTCCTCCAAGTTCTCCTCCCTGCAGTGCAGCTCCTGTGAGAAAACCTTCTCCAGCACTGCTGCTCACCGAAAGCATGTCAAGGCAGAGCACACAGGTAACGGCCCATTTGTTAGCAAACAAAAACATGTGGCAACTGCTGGGAGAGATGTAGTAATAACTCTGATCAGACAAGGTTGCCCATCCCGTTTACCTGCAAAATCACAGTAGAGTCTTTGTATCCTGTAGCAGTCTCTTCTGGCAAGTCTCATCTTAGTGTCTTGCGGCTCACTTGCTCTTGGCCTCTCCTTTCCAGTCTTATCTCCAAAGGTGCTCCTGATGTCTGTATGCATGTGTGGTGTAGCTGAAATATTAACAGATCTCTGGTCCAGAAGGTGTCTTGTAGAAGACCTTTGGTGCACACTTTTCTGTTCTTGGCCTTGTTTGCAGATGTGAAGTTTCATGAGTGCGAGACGTGCAAGGAGCTCTTCCCCACGCTGGCTCTCCTGCAAGTCCATGTGAAGTGCAGGCACTCAGGTCTGTTACATTTGCTGTTGTTCATGTTAACCTTGTGAGCAATGCCTGCTCCTCTCAGTGAGTGATGTCTAAGCTGTAAGTAGGAGAGTGAAGATGGACATGGTAAGGAAGCAGAGTGTGAGGAAACAGAAAATATGGATAAACTGGAAAAGCACTGGTTTTGGTGAGGCTGGGACATGTTTAAGTTTGGAGCCACTGGACTCAAGGAAGGATCTGGATTTGCTTATTACAGCAGAGAGATCTAAGTGCAGGTGAGGAAGCACAGCACAGAGAAATGAGGAACTGAACCCCAAGCATGGGGGTTTGTGGAGGATAGAGCTAGTGGAAGACTGGAGAAAAAGGGAGTTTAGCACCAGAAAGATCAGAGAGGGTCCTGGGCTTGGGGAGACCACATCCAGCACCCTTTGGCAAGTGTGCAAGCTGAAGCAAGGCTGTGAGGGTAGAGTGAACTGGCAGACCATACTATTATGAAAGGTGGGTCCCCAGGGCTGTGCATGGGTTAGCAGGAGAGGAGATGGATCGGGAGACATTGGAGCAGGCAGCCAACCGCAGCCTGGAGAGTGAGGAAGGAGAAGACCTAGACATAGCTCTGAGAAGAGAGAGACCCTGGGGTGGATAATGGGTTTGCAATAGCTGAATCAGGAGGTGCAAGCCAGGCCACAAGGAGCAGTGCTGGATGGTGCAAGGGAACAGGGAGAAGAGATGTTTGTGAGAAGGTACAGCTGCAGCTACAATCAGATACACCAGTCTGGCTTCTGAATGCTGGTGCTGCAGGGGGCTGGAGCTGAAACAGATCTGAACCGCCACAAACTGTTTGACAGACAGTGGTGTAGCCAGCAGAAGGGGCACTGGCACATGCTGTGCCCTCAGTCCCTGGTGGGTTTCAGCCCTGTGTGTCCTGGCCATCTGCAGCTCCCTGTGCCCTTGGGCTGGCCCTGGCTGTCACAGCCCAGGCTCAGGGTGGTGCTTCTTCCCCCAGGCTCCCAGCCGTTTCGCTGCTTGTACTGCTCAGCATCCTTCCGCTTCCCAGGCGCCCTGCAGAACCACGTCACCACCGAGCACTTCAGGGAGACGGAGAGCACCTTCACCTGCGAGCTCTGTGGGGAGCTCTTCCCCTCCCAGGGCGAGCTGGAGGGGCACTACAGTGCTGAGCATCCCAAGGTGGTCTTCTCCCAAGCCACCACAGCCCAGATTGTGCAGGTAAAGGCTGCTCTGTGCCACAGTCCCTGCAGTTGTTCATCCATCCTCCCCCTCCAACCCTCTTATTATTCCCAAATCCACCCTGCGGCTCCTGTCACCCCTTCTGCTCCCTGATTCCCCCTTCTTAGAGGGGTCCAGGATGCAAGCCCCCCAGCCCACAGTGCTCTGGGATTTCTGTGCTAGTGCGAGGTGGGCTCGCTGGAGGGGAAGCAGTTCAGCCCTGGTTTTCAGGAGCCGAGGAGGAGGGACTGACAGTGTGTGCAGAGGCGCCTGGTTACTCAGAGATTATTAAAACCCAGATGACGTACCCTGTGAGATTATAGCTGTTTTGTTGGAGGCTGAATGCTTGAACCCAGACCCTTTCTCTTCAATATCTCAGCCATCAGTGGAGAAGAGTTCCTTGGATGAGGGAGCCCAGTGTGCAAGATTCCCTGGGCTGGCATTCCTCCAGTGGATAATCACAGAGTGTTTACTGTCTGTGACTGCTTATGGAGCTAAATTATAGCAATTTTGTGGAGAGAAATATTTAAATTACTCTCCTGTCTTCTCTTTTGCATCATCGGTGCGTGTGGTTTGATGTTTCCCATTAGTCTCACGCCTATTGTAATTGCAGACCTCTGGTGTAAATGTTATTACCAGAGGTGGGGCTGGGAAAGATGTGGGTAGCAAAGTGATTGTGGGGAAGGCAGTGCTGTAAGTGTCTGACTTTCAGGTCATCTTCCACGCAGGTGATTCAGACGTCTGAGCAAGAAGCAGCAGAGCACATCATCTCTTTTGATGAGGCCCAACTCACTGGCTCCCAAGTCTTTGTGACATTGCCCGAATCCCAAGTGAGCCAAGCTGGCTCCGAGCTGGTGGCAGTGACCATGGAGGACTTGTTTGATGATAAAGTCACTCTCATTTGTGAAGAAACCAAGTGAGACTGAGCAGGAGCCCATGTGTGGCACCTGGTATCCACTGGACTGGTTCAGGAGCTGTACCTCATCATGCTGCTCTAGCAGGGAGATTCAGGGTTTCTTTGGGAAAGCAGCCTGGGATGTGATGCTGCAAAAGAAATGGCATGCAGCAAGCACAGCATGGCCAAGGACAGAAGAGGTTTATAGACATTCACAAGGGCCTGGGAAATCTCCCTACAGTCAGCAGCTGCTGGCTCGGGTGAGCTGGACCACTCATCCCTCCTGGCTCAAGAGAAAAAAAGAAGCAGAGAAAAAGATGGGAACTGGGTGTGTTCACGTGTGCTCCTCCACTGCTGTGAACAGAGTGGAAGGGAGGAGACCTGTGCAGAACAAAGTTGGGGTGGTATGGGTATGTGAAACCAAAGAAAAAGCTGTCCTGAGAATTCAGGGTGGAGATTTTTATGGCTGAATCAGTGATGTGCTCGCAGGTATCTGCTACTCTGCAGAGTGAGTAGGGGCTGCTTTGTTTCTTCTCTTGCTCTCCCTTGTACCATTGTGCTGCCTGTTGTGCCAGCTCGAAAAGTCCCCCAGTGCAGAGCTGACATTTGGGCCTCTCTGCTCGAGCAGAGGCTTCTTGGGAGTTGTGCTAAATGGCTTCAGAGCTGTTTAGGTAATACCTTGTGTAGCGCAGGTTTGATCCCATCCATATTTTTGCTGTGGCTGTCCGTTACGAAGAAGGGTCATAGGCAGGTCTGGGTATCCGCATCCTCTTCGCGAGCAAACAGCCCTGAGATGTCCCACCCCTCCTCTAATTCACCAAGGACGTGCTGAAGCTGCCATATCTGAGAAAGGAGGAGGAGCTGTGCCTGCATGCCAGGGCCCCTTGTTACTGGTATCAACGGATTGGTGCTAACGAAGGTGTTTCTGAGTGTGCAATAGCTGCTGTGACTGCACGTAGCCATTCCCCGTGGCACACAGGGCATTGCTTTGTACAATGCGTTCAGATACCTAATGCAAAGTTTGCTTCTCCGGTACCAGCACAATGCAAAAGCTTCACTGCAGCACACTGGCCCCTTTAAGACTAAATTTCATGAAGCTTTTTTTATCTGCAGTTTCCTAAAATATAATCTGATAATTAATGGTTTGCTGAATCCATTATGAAGTGCAATTAGATAGATGCAGGGTTCCTGTGGCTCTGGGGGGACTGGTAGCATTTATCTTCTTTCCCTCATGCCAAAAGGTTGAACTCTGCTACTGTGATATTTACATACTGAGCGGTGATCCCCGCCGCATCTCGCAGCCTGAGACCCCGCGGTGAGCAGTGCCTGTTTTATCACGCTGCCCAGAGCCACAGGAGTGCAGGAGATGAACAGATTGGAGTTTTCCAGCAGCATCTTGTGCTGGCTGCTCACAGCCGCCAGGCAGAGACGGTCGCACAGGAGCGTGCCAAGGTAGTTGTACCAGTGAGCTAGTTTGTTGTTCCTGTTACAACTTGGAGAGAAGAAGTGAACAGCAAGGGGTGCCCCCAGGAGAGGGGCTTGGTGGAGATAATGTTCTGCATGGCATTTTTTGTGTGTGTGTGTGTGTGAACAAGTATATGACCCTGCTGAAGTGTTGCACACGTCGAGAAGTGTTCCCGCCTTTCTCTTCCTCAGTTGCATGCATGGTTTGTCCCCCAGGCTTCGTGGTGACAGTGAAATGGAGGAAGCATGAGGTTAAGTTGCCATAGAATCCAGGAATGACCAGGAGATGGTGCTCAAGGTCTTGAGGATTAGTGCTAATGGCCAGGTGCCTCAGCACCTTTGCTGAAGCTCCTCTTAGCCTTCCCAGGCCTTACCCAGCTCCTGGGCTGGCAAGCGTGGAGAGCCCTTGAGCTGCTGCCAAGCTGAAGGACAACTCCAAGCCCTGGACAGGACACCTCCAAACCCTGGATATCGCTGCTTAAAGAAGAGCCTGGAACTGGGCTGTGGCCACCTGCGGAGAGGGTAAAATACATCTGCTACTGAGGTGGAGCAACAATAATGCCTGGGATCTCCCTCAGCCAGGAGGAGAGCAGAGGGGGAACTGCTGGAGACCATCTCATGCCTGCCTGGACACAAAAGAGCTGTGCGTGGCGCTTAGGATGAGCACAGGGACAATGACAGAACAAGCAAGCACATCTTGATGGTCTCAGAGCAGATGTGTTGGGAGGTAAGCGGTGGATTTTGTCCCACAGGCTGGTGGAGATGGAAGCTGTTCCCCCTTTTCTGGCTCTGTGGGGGCTGGGAGCTGTGGAAATCCTGCACAGGCTGTGTGAATGCTCTGGAGCAGGGGATGAATTGTCCAGGCGATGCTTTGCAGATGCCCTAGCCCTCATTTGGGAGGCAATATCTGCAGGGAGATAGAAGAAGCTGATCTCACTTTGTTCCTGAAAAACTCTGGAGGAAGAGTAAAGGTTTAGCAGGGTTTGGGGAGAAGTTGCCTTAGCTATAGCCCTCTCATAAGGCAGAGGGAGCTTAGCTAGGGAAAAGCATGCAAATGATGCATTTTAGCTTTGATCTGTTTGTCACAGTTGAAGGGGGACGGTGTAGATCACACATCAGGCACAGTTCAGGCTCACGTTTCCTGTTTAGGGCCATCTCTCCTGCCTTTGTGCCCTGCAAGAGTCTGTATGGACGTATCCTTGGCAGAGTCCTGCCAGCAGTATACACCCAGTGAGAGCTCTGCAGCTGTACAGAGACCGTCAAGCATCTCCTGTGTCATTATGAGGAGATAACAACTCAGATGCCTCCGTTCCAGTTCCTTCTTGATGGATGACATATGCACGTCAGAGCAAATTGCAGTGTTAGCAACACCTATGTCCTACCCAGAAGGAAGATATGTTTCCTGGGGCACGTCCTGGTCTGGTGTGCACAATGCTGAAGATGCTGATCGCTAGCAATTTCTTGTTATGCTGCATATTCTTTTTTCTCTGCAAAAATAAAACATGGAGAATGAAAGAGATAGCTGCACAGTATCATATGAAGCAATTGATTTGAAGGAAAAATCCTTATTTCTGAAAACATGATTTTTGCAGGTCTGCTCCCTGGTGCTGGATGACCCATCAGGTTATCTGGGGTCCTGTGCCCTTCTTGACCTTGGTGCCATCCTCTGCAAAGAAGCAGAGAAACTATTGCCAGGTCAGGGTGGTGCTTGGTCCTGTCCTGCCCTTCGCTGTGTCCTGTTGCAGGTGCCACATGCTTTTGGAAAAAGGGCAGAGTACCTGTAACAGAAGCCTGGGGAGTAAGGTCCCATGGAGGACATTAGATCAGTTAATGGTTTATATATCTTCATGCATTAATTGGTGCCATTTAGGGTGCAGGACTAAGCTTGTGACTGCTAGGAAATGTCTGGTTTCTGCACAACTTTCTTTCTGACCTGGTGTCTGTCCTGTTCCCTGAAGGATCCTTTGGAAAAAGGCAGGGTGCCGCTGGTTACGCAACAGCTGTGAGCAGCCCTCACTGGGCATTTCCCAATGCAAAGCATAATTTTGCAGCCCCAAGGTGTTATTTTAACTCAGTATATACAAGTACTGTGCTTTGGGCTTTGGTTTTTGTTTGTTTGGGGGTTTTTTGTTTGGTTTGGTTTGTTTGTTTGTTTGTTTTAAATCTAACCCATCTGTGATTAGGTGCAAAGATACTGCTGCTTTGCCCAGGAGCGAGGGATGGAGGTGGTGGGAGCATGGAGAGAGCTCAGACGTTGCTTGAAGCCTCTCCTGGGGGAGAGGAGGAAGAGAGCAGGTACCAGCAGTCTGAAAACCCTCTGTGAGTCGGGCAAGCCCTGGCAGCCCCTGCGCCCCGGCTGATGCTGATGTCTTGACAGATTTCATTATTGGTCTGGCAGGCTGCCAGCATGTCCCCAGCGAATTCAAGCACTGGAAAAAGGAAGCGACGTTTTCAACCATCTCCAGCTCGGCAAACGCTGAGCAGCGTTTCGCGGGGCAGAGATGAGATGCTTCAGCAGCCAGAGGGAATTCCCTCTCCTGAATATCAGTGGTTTGCTGCAGACGGTGAGAGCCTAGGCGCTTCCCCAGGAGATGGGCTCAGTAACTTTTTGTAATGGGGAGGAGCAGGCTGGCTAATGGAGGGTGCTCAGCTGCCTCTCCAGCATCAGTTAATCTAATCCCCCAGCACAGCCAGCTGTACGGTGCCTCATTGCAGTAGGTCACCATGATTCCTAATTTCCTGTGTTAAAACAGTAATTCCTTTTATCGGGTCTCCAGCCAGCCTTTCACACACAGTGAGAGCACAAGCAGAAGCTCTCACTTTGCCTTCCCTGCACCATTTATGATCACTCAAAGCAGGAAATCTGCCCAGGTTTCTAATCATATTTAAGCAAACCTGATAAAGCGTAGCTCTTATTCTACTTAATAAGAGAGATGTGGATGCTGTGTAGCGCCTGCTGTTAAGTTGCTATATATAGCTTTCATTGACAAATGGGAGTGGGGCTGGGAAGCATCCATGGGTCAGACCATGCCACCTGTTTCTGTGACCTGCAAGGAAACAGAAAGTCCTTGCCGGCAAAGAGTGCAGGCGAGACAGAGGCTAGAGGAGCAATAAGGAGCAGCAGGGATCCAAATTGCCTGGCACGTGGGTGCAGTCGAGCTGTGTGCATCTTAGCATCGCTAAATGTCAGGCTGTGTATCTGGGAAGAGGTGATGCTGGCTGCAGGGAGAGAGGAGGGGACTGCGGTCAGGATGTCTGAAAGCATCTTAAGGTCTGCTGGTCATAACCAGAGGTGTGTGGAGCTGTGAGCGATGTTTGGGAACTTTAGTAGCTGCTTTTGGCAGAAGTTGGGAGGTGTTTACTGCTGCCCTCTGATCTGAGCATTGCTGCGACTAGATGACATTCCTGTACAGCTGCTCACGCACAGCAGCATATGACAAGTAAATGACAAACTGGAGGCTGTGCAGGCAACAACTACCAGCACAAGTCAAGGGCTGGAAAATCTGCCATATTGCATGAGAGTGCAGCAGCTGTAATTGCTCAGCAATGACCTGGTGGCAG